ATTGAGATCTTGACTAAATCTATGCCTAACACAAGGTTTTTGCTTTGTTAATCTTCATAGTACATAAGTGTAACAAAGACTTAAAACTAAGTAACACAAAATACGCAGCAGATTTAGCTACCTACTCTGACGGCTAAGGAATGCAGTGTTGACAGATACAACCACTTGTTTACGTAAGATATTGTATGGTATTAGCAATTGTTGTAAATGTGCCTGACTGTTTTTCATCACTTGCCCACCTGTTCTCGTCAGTATTATGTAGTCCAATATTTGCCTTTGTAGGGCCAGGTATTCTAATTTTATACTTGAATTCGACTTGAAAGGTTTTGTATGGTATACTCTTAATCGCGTCGTAATAACTATTCTTCTCAGTATCTTTTCTATTTCACAAGTTAAACAACAAAAATCAGCGTTATATTTACAAAATTTTCACAGGACTAGTTTCGATGGTTTTACCGAACCACCATCCTCAGCTGCAAAACCGCAAATGAACAAGATAGGAAATAATGATTAGATAAGATAAAAAAGTCTGGACAAGAATAAGCAAGTGGCGTGTTATTCTTGTCCAGGCTTTCTGTATTTATTCGGCGTGTTATTGTGTTTTAATTATCTTTTCTATATTAATTTAATATAGCACTACTTTCTTGCAATTCAAATTTTTAATGCTATGTTTTAAATGTCCAATATTCTTGAAAATGCAAAATGTGCAATTACTAGGAGTAACACCGCTTTTTGATGTAAGATATCTTTATTGCCATATATTATGTATTATAAGCGATGGTACTGTAAGAATCTGCAATACGTCTGTCTTCCGCCATCAGCCCCTGTTTGACAATGTTGTTCTTCGGGAAAGTTGCAGGATCCAGAGAATACTCGAATAGTCAATGAAAGCCCCCCGAATGTCCGGATCCTGCTCGCGTTTGTCACCTGTATTATTATCATTCTACAACCAATTCTTGGTACCTAAAACAAAACCTGAGAAATATTTTATTTTCCAACAAAATGAACAGGAATTTTATGGATATCCTGCATATATACACGTACAGATATATATATATATATGCAGAGTACCCACTAAAGTCCGGTACCAGTGCCGAATGGCTGCAGCTATAGTCATAAAAGTAGGGTCAGTGGTGTCTAGGTATAGTAAAGTGGCTATGCCCTACTAAATGAGACGGCTTATAGAGCCACTTGGTGGAAAAAGGCGGAGTTACCGTTCCTATCTCGAAAACGGTAAAAGATAGGAGGAAAAAAGTAAATTACAAAGTAGAGCATCGTCGATTTAGTGCGAAAAGACACTTTGTGGATATGAATACTAAAAACAGAATGCTCAAAATGCACATTTATTTCTACCTTATATGTTTTTTGTTTCATATCGAAGTTGTGAATTTCAGTCGAGAAACGATCCGCATCGCGGCACAGTGATATCTCTTGAAATTCACAGTCGAGAGGACTTTGGTTCAAACCCCGCGGGATGCATCCTGATTGGTGTGCGAAATTTGTGTATTATGCAAATAGTGTATGAAATGTCAAACTTGTTCACTTGAGATAGCTATAAAAGAAATATCTCCTAGGAGTTTTATGTTGAAGCTCATGGTCATGGAGAGATTTTCAAAAAATAATTAATGTGAAATGGTTCTTCTTTACGATGAATGTGAGAACAAGACACGATCGGCAGCGCAGTTGGATCGGTAACTTTTTCCTGCAGGCCTGCAGCCTTCACACAAAACCATTCTGTTCTGTTCTGCAGGTTGTTAAACGTTTAAGAGAGATAAGCTGCGTGACTAGCCGTCTTCGATTCGGCAGACCAACTAAGGTAGGGCAGAAAGTGCAACCGGAAGATATTTACGACCTCACATATCCGAACAGCAGCACAAGAGAGCTAAGTGAAAACTGTGACCCCTCAGAAAGTCGCGCTTGTAAAATCCTAAACGAATTAGGTTCTCATCCATACCAGACAACACCTCAGCAGGCATTACTGGAAGGGGAGGCCAAGAGGGGTTTCGCATGGAGCAACTTCATCATGAACCAGATAGGGGGCCACTCAACAGTCTCGGCAAATAGACGGATGAGGCATGCTTTTCGCGGAATGAAATGTCCAATAGGCAGAACACCCATTACTGGGCGCTGTTTTAAATTTCATCACGTTCTACCGACGTTCGACAGCAAATACGATTTATGAATGTTTGATGTGGAATTTAGAATAACAGACTAATCTTTATAATATTTCACCAGGCAGACCAACTAAGGTAGGGCAGAAAGTGCAACCGGAAGATATATACGACCTCACATATCCGAACAGCAGCACAAGAGAGTTAATGGCCGCACGATATTTAGAATTTCTGCAATCCGATTTTTTTGAGAACCTGGCGTTGCTTCAACTCCGGAGTGGATGGTTCCAACATGATGGCGCGCCTGCGCACAAGACATTCCCAGTGAAGCAGTACTTGATGGAGGAATTCGAAGAATGAATAAGCGAATATGGTGGTTTCAACAGTGGCCTCCACATTCACTTGACCTTACTCCAATAGACGTTTTCTTGTTAGGATACCTAAAACAACATGTATATGCGACCCCTTCATTGCAGGACCTTCAATGATGTATTATAAAGGCTTGTGCAAACGTGTCCCCCACTGAGCTATAACGTGTGCAATGCGAAATTCTAACAAGGGTCGAGATGTGCATTTCAACTGACGGAAAGAATTCTGAACATCAAAAATAAAAGCATCTTGTGATAACTAGATTTATGTTTCTTTCTAAGGTAGTTTCGTCACGTTACAGTGTAGAAAACCTCGAACAAACAAATGTGCGTTTTAAACGTCTGTTCTTAGGATTCATGTCCACGAAGTGTCTTTTCGCACTAGATCTGTGATGCTCTACAACTTTGTCACGCTTTTTTCATCCTATCTTGTTGTTTTTGAGATAGGAATGCTAACTCTAATGTTTTCCAACAGGTGGCTCTATAAGCGGTCTCATCTAGTAGGACATAGCTGCTTTACTATACCTAGACACAACTTTTATGACTGTAGCTGCAACCGTTCCACAGTTAAACGGCTGGTACCAGACTTTAGTGGGCATCCTGTACACATACACACACACACATATTAAGCGTTAAAGGAAAATATATGTACGTGTGTACAATTATATATATATATTATATATACTATGTGTGTATGTGTGTACCAGAGGTACCCAAAAGTAACCGGAATTATTTTTAAGCAATTAAATTACACTTTACATTTACTTATTCTAACTCCTTTAGGGTGATCTCCACTAGTTCAGATACACTTTAGCAATGTTTCCTTCACTGCTGGAAACACAGAAACAATTCCGGAAATCGTCGCACGGAATATTATTCAAGACATGCATTGCAATTTCTTGCACTTCATGCGTTTCATTGAATTACATTTTTATCCACTGAATTGCGTTTTAAGAACGTTCTGTGGAATTAGAAAATGGACGTAATGAATAATAAGAAGATTTGTTGAGTAGCGAAAATGAGACACAGTCACCATGTTGTTCTTCCCCAAAAACTATCTGACTAAGAGAGTTTCTTCTGAAATCTGGTAAATGGTCTTTCTGTTATCTTCTTCAATAGGTTGTTGCACTTTCGCAATGCTTTCGTCATTTCTACTCGTCAACTCATTTCCATTTCGAAAGAGACGTCATCCGACATATTATCAATTTTGAGTCTGGAAAGCCACTTGGGGATGTATGATTTACTCTAATAAAGCTATTTAAAGGTTTGCCGAAACATAACAACGATCTCAGTTGCAGTTTTACTGAACAAAAAATTCATGCACATTGTTTGTTTTTGCGATCGCACATCACAAGAAACGCAGAATGCTGTGAGCAGACGCACCCATAAATCATCACCGAGAACGAAATCCCTATAATAACGACTAACGCCATTTGAGCAACAGACGCGGCAAATCTTAATCTAACAAGGCCTAAAACCTTGGTAATTATAAAAATGCTACTATACAGGGTTGTCATTCCGGCTGCTTTTGGGTACCCCTATTTATATATCTTTTTCTTCACTTTCTATTAACACTTGAAGTCTTCATTTTCGATTACAGATTTTTAAGGCAGTTTTTGACATACTTGGTTTTTCTGCATATCAGTAGTAGTTAAGCAGGTTTGATTAGAATCAATTACTATGCTATATTATGTCATCACTTAACATTATATATATGAGTATTACATAATATCAGCAATGGAATGACCTTTCTTTCTAAGAATTTAGATGCATTTCTTTCTGTAACGTATAGAACAAAACTGTATGGATTCTGCTTCAAATTAATAATTCTTCTCAATGTATTCATATTAAATTTATGAAACGCAAATGAAAATTAATTTTTAGTTAACTCTTCATCTTCATGAACATCATTTGTTTTAAAAGCAAATGATTTGATTGACTGCTTTCGTTTACTTTTCACATTTTTCTTTTAAAATACATTGACAGACTGAATCTATCGCTCGTAGAAATATGTATGAAATTTATGGCACGCGCTTTAATTCAGAAAGGGAAACAAATACTACTTAGTAGCTTTCGTTATTACACTAAACTAGTTCAATTACAAGACTCACTAACTTGATAAAAAACAATAATCCTTATTACACCCAAATTTACATATTCTGTCTAAAAATTCAATACAGAATACAATGTTGCTCTCATTTGTACTTTTAAAACTGGCTTAAAGTCAATAAACGTCTCTCAATTACAGTCTCTTAATACCTCTTCGTCATTAAAATATTGTGATTACAAATGTGACAAGAAATATGTTTAAATATATGTAACTAAAACGTTATTCCGAGAGTTTTTTTGACAATATCAAGGTGCTAAACGCAGTATTTTGTTTTTCCTTTACGATATGAATGACATTAAAAACTGTTTTAAATATTTTTTTACCAAATTCAAGGCATGAAAGACAGTTAAGATGCCGTATTCAAGGCATGGAAAGTTTGTTTCATTATTATCATTTGAATATGTGATTTAGATTCTCCTCTGTGGCTCCTTCTCCACGTAGCCCCAATCAGAAATGAGAAGGATGTCGTGGTTCTGTTCCTTCTCACTTTTCGAGACATCACTGCCCTTAAGCAACCACAAGAAGAAGATGCTGCTAAAGGTAAAAAAAAAGGTTTGTTTTCTATGCAAAGATATTGCACCTTATCTGCATGGTAGTTTAGTTCACTTCACGTTAAGTATTGCCAAAAGTACTATAAATATTTCATTTTGTGTGATTATTAATATAGATGTTAATTTAATATTGGTAATTGACTAATTAGGTTAATAAGGTTAAATTGAAGAGATTATTGCATGTCAGGAAAATTCACCTTAATCTTGCATGTACCTTATCATAATTAATTTTCAGAACGAACATAGTTTCAAATATTCATAGAATTTTTGGCAACTAATCTGGAATTCTTGTCTGCACTTTGGGATTGCTGCATCTCATCAATATTTTAGATTTCCTTTTCGGTTTGGCACAGTTTTGCACGATAAAAATAGCTCATAAGCACTTTACAAAAAGAGTACGTTTGCGCACAACCTACAGTTTTATGAAAAACATTTACATTTGAAGTATTCTAACTATTCTATTCTATTTGATTCTATTTGACTACTGAAGTATTCTATTTGAAGTACTATGTGGATTCGAATGCTGTATGTTTATGTTTAGTGTGGTTTAGTAACTAATATCTGCGTATTGCTTATTGATAGCATTTTTATTGTTTAGAAAAGGAACCAAATAGTGTTTTAGTAAAAGTCTAGTTTTTCTTTAAAAATGAAATGTATCAACAAATAACATTATATTTCTACTTCTGTCAATATCATGAGCATATTTTCTTTGAGCTCGTGTATGATTTAACTGGAAAGCTACTGCTCAAATTTGTAAATACCACCAACGTTGAGTGCTGTAAAGTTGAAAGCAGAACTAAGAAATAAAGTGTTATGAAGAAATGCACCTGATTACAGTCTTGTATTTGATAAACGAAGGTTAAAAATAAACCACTGTAAAGTTACTTTTTGAATAAGCCATACCAAAACATCTGATGCAGAAAACTTTTGAATGAAATCCTGGATATATTTATGAACATGGATATTACTGATGTCAATCTAGCCCTGTAGTGACCCTAAAGTGAAGGCTATTCAGTCTAGCTTTCACCTTAAATTTGATCTATTTAAATAATGGCCTAAGGTGTCTAGCATTTTTTAATATGCTTTATGGCAATTTTTAATATGCTTTATGTTTAGTGACAAGGCTACGTTTCATTTAAGTGGCAAGGTCGACCGTCACAGTGTTAGAGTATGGGTTATGGAGCAGCCAGACCAGAGTATGGTTATACAGCATGAGTTAGAGTATGGGTTATACAGCATGAGAGTGACTCGAAAAAAGTTTATGTTCTCTTCGCTATTTCTCTGAAAAAGATGTATGGCCTCGTTTTCTTCATAGAGGGCACTGTTACGGGGATCACATATCTTTATATGCTTGAACACTGGCTTTTCTCATAGTCAGAAACCGATTGGTTAACCTCGTTTTCCAGTAAAACGTGGTACCACTACACTGAAGATTGGATCTTTGACAATTTTTAGCAACCTCGTTCGCCAACTATCAGTCAGCCATTAGGGACCTGACGACTCATTTGAACATTACTGGTCTCCAAGATAATCGCACCTCTCCGTGTACGATTTCTTCTTGTTTTATAAAAGACTCCGTTTATGCGCCTCTTCTTCCAGCTGTATTAGCCGAACTGAAGATACGCATAGCAACAGCCATGGAAGCAGTGGATGCAGATATGCTCGCAAAAGTTTGGGATGACTTTCACTACTTTGTAAACCTATGCCTTGCATTCAGAGGTGGAAATATTGAGAAACTTAAATTTGGTTTGAACCTTTATGATTATCTCCGTAATATAAACTTAATCTTAAATTTCTATGTTCAGCATTTTTCATAATATACAAATTTAAAATCAGGTGATTCTATTTGAAACACACTGTGATTCGTGACAACTCAAATCGTCAGTTTCATTGAAAGCAACAAAACAAGAAACAATTGTTTACTGAAACAGTTGCGTTTAACGTCAATACATTTTTGACAAAATACCGCAAAATATTTCATATAAAAACTCGAAAACTTCTCCACCGTGGAAGTTATAAAATCGTCAACCACCTTCTAAACAGCTGAATTATTATTGAAAACTTCTCAAGCCACCCAATCAGCAGAGCTGCTATAATTTACATTTCGAAAAAAGGAGTAACGTATAAAGGAAGGATATGGTCAGTAAGCAGGGTGTAGTAAAGTCTTATAGCCTATATAAGCAATTTTCTGTACTATTTACTTTTAAATATGTGCCTAAGAGTTAATTTTAAGCAACTGGGCACGATATCTGTTGATCTATACTGAATTATTTATAATGCAGTTTCTTCTTCAATTTATCGATATTTTCAGAGTTTGGCTGTGGTTCAGTGATTTCTCGTACAGATTTGATTGCATTTCATTCTTTTGACTGGCAGACTCTTCCTTTAATATATATACATAGGTATTTATGCAGGGTGACCAAAGGTCCGTTCATATTTGAAAATTCAATAATTCACCGAATAATGCACTTAGAGAGGTAAACACTAACACACATGTTTGAAATGTGATATTGAAAGCCAAAAATTGCTTAAAACGGCCAGCAAATGACTCTTCATATGATAGCAAAAGCAATAGTTAGTATAACAAGTGATTGTTAGCAAAGACTATGTTCTATATAATGTTCAACATGCCGGCATTCATTCATCAAAAATATCTCCAGCCGACAATGCTGTGAAAAGCACTGTACAGCATATCTGTAGGTATGGTGAGACATTGCCGTCTGATGCTGTCTTTAAGCATCCCTAATGAAGTCGGACGATCACGGTAGGTTGCGGTGATTTGCAGTTTCAGATAACTCCATAACGAATAATCACACGAATTGAGATCAGGAGACCTGAGAAGTCAAGCATGACGGAAGTGGCGGTTCAGCACTCGATCCTCACCAAACAATGAGTGCAAGAGATCTTTCAATACGTGTAGCATTATGGGGTGGAGCGCCATCCTTCATAGATGTCATCCCTTTCAACAGATGTTTATCAGCCAAACTAGGAATGATGCGATTCGGTAACAAATCATCGCACCTCGCACCCGTCACACCGACAGTTTGAATAGCAGAACCACGCATTTTCTCGAAAGAAAATGGTCCGATCACGATTTATAACGATTGAGATCGTGAACTCTCTTGTAGTCAGTTCACTATTGATGTGATAAATCCACATCACACCATGACCAACATGCCGAGGCGAGGACAGTAAATTCACAAAGTCATAAAGGGACTGATTCCCTCTCTCACTACAGCTCATTTCGTACACGATTCTCATAGAACTGACTGACATTTTGCTGCCCAGCGCCATACGTTGAGCCTTTTTTCTTTTTTTTTTTTTTTTCTTTTTTTTTTTTTTTTTTTCTTTTCCTTTTGATGAAACTCCATGTCATTTCAAGTATGTGTGTCAATTTTAACTCTCTATCTACATTATTCCGTGAATTATTGAATTTTCAAATGTTAACGGACTTTTAGTCACCCTGTATTTACTACAAGGTTTACAATATTAGGATGCAGTAAATACTTCCCAGTGGAAGATATAATTTCACAAAAAATAAATTTTTTGCAGTAAATTACTTATTGAATACTTGAAAGACCTGAACTTTGCCAGAGATTTGAACTTAGCTTCTGCTGCTTCGTCATGTTGCTTTTACACGTTGATTTACCAAAGCCAGAAACATGCTTTTGTGGCCAACTTCTACTCTAAAATGATATTTGGATGATTTTATCTTGATGAAGTGTTTTAAATGGCACTCAAATGGTACTCAGATCCAGGACGAATATCGACTTGCGAGACATGATTTCATTGGCATTAATATTATGTTTACAAAATGTGTCTTGATGTGCCTTTTACATGCTTCCATGTTCCCTTAAATACATTCAATTATTATGCCAAACTTATTAAACTACACTTCAAGTCAAAATTCAAAGGTATTATCAGGAAAAAAAATTAACAGTAACTTATTAAAAAGTGATTTAAAAAATTTATACAAAAAACATTACATCTTTTCAACACCGTATTTGCATCAATTACATAACTGAAATGCTCTCGCGGGCCTCATGGAATTGCTTCGGGGGCCACGTGGCTCGCCGACTACCGGTTTGAGATAACTGACCTAAGCCATCATTACCCCCGAAACAGCCTTACCTGAGGTTTCAAGACCATTTCTACTTATCTATGATCCGTTTCTGTCCATTAAAAATATGCAATTCGATGAAGGTCATTTTTGATACTTCCACCCCAAACTGTGAAACTCCAGTAGAAGCAGGATTAGTTATGAAAAAAGAAAAGAAAATTACTTGTTTCTCGTTCCATTCTGGTAAAAATATATGTAGAATCAATGTTCAGGCTACATCTGGACTAGTAGAAACAATATTTCTCTTGGCTCCGGTTAATATACAAGCACACCAATTAAATTGAATCCTTTTAAAGATGAATTGAGTGAGACATAAATCATTTGTTTTCTGCTATGAAATCCAGCCTCATGAGGTTTCCGTGCAGCTAGAACAGCTAATTCGAGTATTCCTACGACAGCCTGAAAGCCTAACACCAACTCTCTTGTAGTCAGTTCACAGTCAAGCCTGCAATAACAGAAAACAGTTTTCCAATGCAGTTGTTGCTCTTGACCACTTTGGCTAGGCTGTCTACTAACTGATTCACTGCTTGAAAAGCTCTTCCAGTTTCTTAATATGACACTGTGAAATATAATCAGAAAGCAATGAGCAATTATTCGAAAGTTTTGCCCGTTACTTAAATGATGCATTTTAATTGCTTAAATGATGCCTTGGTGCAAAAATCGGTCAAGTCATAAAATTAAATTTTATGGGAAATCAAAGAACTTTCCAAATTTGTAAACAAATTTGCAACTGTCCCAAATTTTGGTATTCGTTATATGGCCCAATATAAAACTGATATTTTGTAAAAATCTCACAAAAAGTGAACTTTGAAAATTTGGATTTAGCTTTTGTACGAAAATGTTGAACAAAAAAACCACAAACATGAAACAACAGTATTTATTTCTTGTATAAAGTCTTATTCGAGAACAGAACTAAGTAAGGCGTGTGATTCATAAGCTGCATCTTCTACAGGTTCCTCTCGAGCTTCTACCGCTTCCACTGGGGGGGGGGACTCACATTCTAATTCTTCTTCAGTTTCCGCCAATATTTAGTCGCAGTAACCGTGGTATGCTTCTGGCACATATTTCTTAACTAAAAGCTTCCAATATGTTTTGATTTATTGGCAATGGATGTATCCGGATCGTCCGCGTCGTAGGTAGCCTTAAATTAGAGCCAAGCTTAATAGCGGAAAATTTAGTGGAAAGGAAAGGCCGTTGTTCATTCAATGAAGTTAGACCAGTTTTGATATTTAAATAATCGGACTATTGAAATAGAAAATTTTGTTTTATTTTTTGACTGGTAAACGTTGCTTTAAAAATGGGTTTAAATTATTATATCTTGAGTTGCATCTACGACCCGAAACCATGTTGCTAGTTTTCCTTACTAGTTCTTTCCATTCGGCAGACAGGTAAATTCGCTGTCTTCTTCCCTCTTTCTGGACTAAGCCAAAGGAGAGATCACAGGGTAAGAAACTATGACCAAACTCAGGATATTGATGAAAAATTTGAGTAATATTTTAATACGTAATATTTTTATACTCTGATTAACAAAATCAAACAAATATTTGGTGATAGTACAATTTTGTTGTAAAATGTTGATAAGCCGGTTTTTCCTGAAAAGATACAAAAGCTGTACATCAACAGCTGTCTCTTCTAAAAAAACATCTCCTGCCGGAGCATGGGGGAGAGGAAGGTTTTGTTGATAGTCAAAACATAAAATTTCTGCTTCATCGATTTTGGCAAGCTGGGTTTTCTCCTTCGTCGACGTATAGAATACTTCTCATTTTCTAGTATGTGCTACTTTTTCTGTTTGTAGTACATGTGTGGCCTCTCGATCCTGCTCTACTGCTATTAAAGCATGTCTGGTATGTATCTAAACAAGGAGAACCGAAGCTTACATTGTCATTTTCACGTCATAAGAAACTTTTAGTTGGCATTTTTCTTCACGTTTAAGTTTTTCAGAAATTTCTGATTCATATTTTTCCAAGTATAACTTATGCATCTTGGAAATGTTCAGATTAGCAATAATGGAGTTCGACATTCCTTTTTCTCCCTGCTATAATGTGATGAGTGCTTGGGAAAGCTTAATATATAGTTGTCTATAGGTAGCTATAATATTCTGAGGAATGTTGTTAGCGCGGGTATTATGCTTACTCTTCATGCCCAGTGACGCCGCAGTTTTTTCTTTTAAAGTGAAGCCTATACGATTTACCCGGTCTCTGGTAACTCCATGGATAGAACATACTGCCTGTCTGCAGACCATATATTCAGTGCCCTTAATACGAATCTGAATAAAAAAATGCTTTAAATTTTATGTTTTTGAATAGTAGGTACAATTTATTAAAATTATTTTGAAAAAATATAAAACCCGGCCACACAAAATTCAAACTAAAACGTTGAAAACAAAATTCACTAAATTTAGTAAAGTAAAATGGTCTTTAACCTTCGACGTTTTCATTTTTTGTGATATAATGGAACTTATATAAGTACCAGTGGTAAGAAGAATTCAATGCCACCTTCTTTATTAAAATCTGTTTAGGCAAACAATATGAAATCGCCACAAACATAGAGCAACTAACTAACTTTTTGTCATAATCCTAATCCACCTTGTAATGGAAAGTAACGGCCTTTGTTTTGCCGTTTCCTGTTCATATTTTTTTCTTGCAGCTTGATTACCCGGATTAGGCCACTCAAGGCTGATCTTGCTTTTCTTTATTAGCTAAGCCATTGAACTCCTGCAAGACTTGGTTTCTTTTTTTCCACTCTGAACTTCAAAAAACGTTTGCGACGACAAGCACAATTTTTACCCACTTTTGTTCTGGTATTAATTTTCCACTTTTTACGGTAGTGTACGTTTCACCTTTTGCCATTTTCACTTTCCTGATATTTCGTTGCCATGATGCCTCATTTCGTATTTTCTTCTTTCCTTTTTTGTGCAAGGATTACTTACATTGTCTGGCAAAACAGACTTGTCTACAACTGGTGTCGAATTCGGATTATTAAAAGGAATGTTTTCAATTTGCTTGAGTTTTCTTTTTTCCCCCTGTTTTCAAACAGGCTAATACTTGGCTAATTGACATCAGATGGCAAATATTCACTACCTATTGACATAAAATGTTTTTTTTTCTTCAGATGACATCATTTTTCACACACTATTATACGTATTACACACAATAAACAACAGACCACGTGCACGCACACATAAGAAGCTACAGGAAGCTACTAAATCTTGTCGAAAGGCGTCTAGGAAGCGAAGCGTGCGATTGTTCAAGGTCATGTCCTCCCATACTCTACTATTAACGTTATGTGCAAAAAATCGAACAAGTCCCGGACACGACCGGTTTTTGCTTCCAAAGGGTATGGTCGGCTAAGTCCAAATTGAACATTTTAAACCATTGATGCACTTCGGACTTGGCTGTTTTTTGCATCAATCGATCGTGGGTACTTGAAACTTAATTCGATTCAAAAGTGGACTTGACGGTTTTGCAGGTCTTCAATTATAATGAATACTGATCATTCTCAAAAACTGCATTACGAATTCATTGCGCAACATGTTATGAATAACCTAATTTGTATATTTTATTCGTTAGGCTATGTACAGTAATCAAATTTTGTGGTCATTTGCAGATAACTAACATAAATTTTTACACCACTAGACATTGGTTGAAAACTTTATGCAGTCAGCATATTTTTTCAGATAGTCCTTTAATTTGAACGAGCAATATATTTTATGAAATTCTTTCAGGAATAATGATTATAACAGTTTCTAAAGCAATGGTTTCAAGTATATAGGTGAGATTCAGTTCGTTATAAAAATCAAATCAATTTCTAACCATTTTTATAAAACTAGAATTTTCACTTAAAGGGAGATATATCAAATTTCCGATTTTACTCTTCTTACCGCTCTCATATTTAACATTTGATTATTAAAGCGTTTTAACTATGTTGTGCCAATATTCATTTTTAATATTATGTTTACAGTTGGACTTAGCAAGTTCGCCCGCCTTGCCCGGTCTGTTACTAGAAGTCGTTCTGTCCTGGTTCAGCAATTTTCCACTCAGTTATCCCAAGGCCTCAAATCAGATCCCACTAAACAATCACAAATCGCACATGTAAGTCTATTTTTTATAACATTTCCTTCCAAACATTTATAAAATTAAATTTAATGAAGAAAAAGTAACAGAACAATTGTGAAATAAATATAATTAGTAGTTTTCATTTGAAATTAATAGTTCTATATGTTAGAAATTTAATCTTTAAGGACTACCTTAGTTATCATATCTCATTTTCATGCAATGTGAGTAAGAAGTTAGTAAAGAGAAAGGGGTATACAAATATAAATATTAAATTGAGGAAAAATTGGTTTGATACTTATTTAAAAGAAAGGCTCTATGCATTTCGAGTGACGCAAACACCAGATACCTCTTCTTCATTGTCTCTCTCAAAATTTATAGTGTTCCTTTAACACTAATATCAAGCCACAAATATGTTTTGCTTTAATTTCAACATCATATTGCTTCTGCTTTAATTTCAACCACATATTCATTGAACTAAGAATGTTATTCTCCTTACTAAAACTCATTGCATATTTCTAAGAGAGGCATTAAAAATGCAATGGGTTAATGTATATTTGCAACTTTAGTTACTCACATGTTCAATACTGTGCTTTTATTTTTGGATTTTCTAATGTATCTTTAATGAAATTAAATAAAAGACAAAATCCTCTAGTCTCCATTTAGAAGGCATTTTGTTCCTGTAATTTTCTTTTATATTATTTAAAAACTGAAAATATTTAATAAATAAAAATTTTACTACTTTCTCTATATTACAGAAAGTTTAATTTAATGAACTACATCTGTCAGATTCAGAAACTAAATTTTCCATGTTATTTCTGTAAATCTCGTATTAGATTATGTATTTTCTAGCATTTTACTGAAGCTTTCGGTGTCATCTACATCTGTTTTTAACTTATGATTCTAAACTTAAATTCTGTGTCAGCCTGGCTTTCATTGGCCACTTAGATATATTGCTAAGGCAAGATTAAATAACTTATAACAACAAATAAATAATAATTAAAAGTTTATTTTAATTACAATTCGTGGTCTTAAAATTAAGCTCATTATGAAAGTTTTTAAGCTTCTAACTTGAGAGCCAACAGTTGGCCTAAAGCCTGTAGCAGTTTGCAGTCCTAATTATCAAATTTAAGAGTGGGAATGCTTTTAGTCGCTTCCTCTTAAACTTAACTTACATTTAACTCAAAAAAGACTCTGAAAATCATGGTCAGCTGGCAGCGCAAGAACAAATTCCCAACAGCGACTAGCACAAGAAACTCAAAAAAGAAATAATTTCACATGGATTCGATATAATTTTCAGTTAGTAAAAGTACTTAAAATTATTTCTGCGCAGCTAACATTTTCATAAACTCCAGAATTGGAAAACAAATGTATGACAGAAATGCAGAAAAAGAATATGAGAGTGTAAAACTTTAAATTTAATTGTTAAGAAAACGTTTATAAAATTTCCTTGCCTAAGTGTTAAGCATTTTCATGATTTTTACTGTTCGATTCTGCGACTTCAGTCTAGGATAGCATAGGACTTAACTCTATGGAAAAGTCTAGGACATAAGTCTATGGATAGTCTCATGAATGTTATGAATCTCAGGAACTGAAATAGGTACACTCTAAAGCAAGAATTGGTTCAGCGGAAAAGAAAGTATAATTACGTGAAATAAGATCGAATCCTGTGTTTTGAAACTGAAGTAAATACTTAACACTTTAAAAAGTAATTTCAATAAAAAAGAGCTAACAACCTCCTACTCCTCTTTTTTCCTCCTTCTTCAGAAGGAAGGAAAGATGTCTGTACCACGTATTGCATCAAAACATTTTTATTAAATCAAATAGATAAATAAGAAGCTACATTTTTTAATTTTAATTTATTTGATTACATTCTTTCTTTATTTGTCACCGATAACTATAGGTTTATCCACCGACTTTAAATATTTCGCAGTAACTTTTTAATCTAAATACCGAAATTAAGTTTTTTTAATTAAAGAAACATTTTCCTCTCTTCTAAAAAAAAGGAATATTTTAAGAATCTTTTTCTTCCTATTAACGAAATACCATGACATCATACGTAAAATACATTCACGTAGCTCTTTTTTTAATTTTCTATAATGTATTTACTATATAATTCAGATCTTTTCATAATTAATTAAATTTTATGCTCCAGATGATAAGCCTCAATTCAGAAGTCCTGCCTCAGTATCGACAAGAAGCTCCCAAAACCCCACCTCATATACTCCTGCACTATTGCGCCTTCAAAGCCATCTGGGACTGGGTTATCCTCTGCCTCACTTTCTACACAGCCATCATGGTCCCTTACAATGTGGCCTTCAAGAACAAGACCTCCGAGGATGTGTCGCTGCTTGTGTTAGACAGCATCGTCGACGTCATCTTCTTCATAGACATTGTTCTCAACTTCCATACGACGTTCGTGGGGCCCGGAGGGGAAGTGGTTTCGGACCCCAAAATCATCCGCATGAACTACATGCGTAGTTGGTTCATCATCGATCTCCTCTCGTGTCTGCCTTATGACGTGTTCAATGCCTTCGACCACGACGATGACGTAAGTTTTTCAAACAGTACATTTTATACTTCTTTTGTACTTGCACTCGTATTTCTTGTTAAAAATTCCTTTGAAATAATAAATTTATTTCTGTAAATATAACATTGTATGTTTCTGTGTGGTACTCTTTTTACTAGATTTGGAGCTAAAGATGGCATCCATCTTTTAAAATACTACTACGTGAATAATAAATTATTAATTTCAAATAATGAAAATTTCAAATTTAACTCTTATTATGGCTTAAGCAATTAATTTGAAACAGGTGACATTCATCCTTCCGCTGATTTTTGTTTCGGCTCTTTAACAATAGTCAACCGGAGTCTCTGACAAATGAATACTCTCTTTTGCAAGAAATAATGTACTTTTCTTAATTTTATTCTTTAAAGTCGAAGAAAGGTAGGTTATCAAAAACATTAATTTGTCAGCTGAAAACGGTTCTAACTAAAAATGAAATAAAAAAGTGACTTTTATTACAATTTCAATATGTTTTATATATTGTTGATGCATCTGTTTTCTAATTCGAATTTTCTTTCTCATTTCAGCAAGGTATAGGTAGCTTATTTAGTGCTCTAAAAGTGGTGCGACTCTTACGTCTGGGTCGAGTAGTCAGGAAATTGGACAGGTATTTGGAATATGGAGCAGCTATGCTTATCCTATTACTATGTTTCTATATGCTAGTGGCCCACTGGCTGGCATGTATATGGTACAGCATTGGCCGGAGTGACGCTGAAAATGGATATGTACATAGCTGGTTATGGAAATTATCTAACACCACAGGAAAGCATTTCTATTATAAGCCTAGTTCTAATCCAGAAAATAACCACACGCATGAGCTGACTAAGGGACCGCCAAGGGGTACTATGTATGTCACTGCTTTATATTACACCATGACATGCATGACCAGTGTCGGTTTCGGAAATGTGGCTGCTGAAACTGATAATGAAAAAGCTTTTACGATCTGCATGATGATTATCGGAGGTATAATAATAATTCTTGAATTCCCTTTATATTTATTTTGCACATTTGCATTTGTTAAGTTTTATAGCTGTACTGTGTGTTTAGTATCAATAGCAGTATCTCATTTAAACGAAATAATGTTTGGAGAGCCATTTCGGATTGCTCTTTTTCTATTGATATATAGTAACTATTTTCGGCGACTCAAGACAGATACATAACAATTATAAGCAAAATTATTAGTTACATCGCCAAATATTTACATGCATTTTTATTCAAAATAATGAATAGTCTTAGTAAAAAAATTAGCAAGGAACACGTTAATTAAAGAAGGGCTTTCGGTAATTTAATAATGTTGCTTCCTTCGGAAGCAATTATGTATAAAATGGGAACCATAAACAGAATGATATCAAAACATCTTTGAAACTTTCTACCGAAATAGAAAAAAAAAATTAAAAATAACGTAAGTCCTAGTGTAATCTCTAGATTAGAAAAACTGAATTAAATGTCAAGGCAGATCAAGAACTGATTTGTTAGTAGACAGAAATTAACTTCGGATTAAAATTGAAATCTTTGCTTAAAATAGAAATATTTTTATTGATATAAAATCCTCAAGGAAATCTAGTCCACCAGCTTAAGACATTTTTTGAATAGCATCATTAAAAGTTAAAGATAGCACGTGATATGAAAACTAACAGTGTCCTGCAGATCATTACTTATTTATTTTCTTTTCTTCGAGCATAAAATGTATGCCTTCCTTTACTTAATGGATGATTTTCTTTAATTTTTCTTCTGTAATATTATTCATAATAATTTTAATTGCATACCATTCGTTAACAATGCGTGACCTTCTTTCGAGTTTTCTCACAACGAATTATTAGCAGCTGTTCTACACCTTAGTTTCATAAGCTGTACATCAGCCTAATGTAGACTAATTCTTTTCTTCAACGAAAAGAGCATTCCGGAGCAATAAAGCAATTCTCTTCTTTTTTTCATTAACTGTATTATTGTACAATATTTCTAATTGATAAAAGAAATATGAACATCATTTTCGAGTTTCAGGAATGCTATTCACCTGTACTGTCAACATCAATGGATAATCACAAAAAAAAAAAAAAAAAAAAAAAAAAAAAAAAACTGAAAGAAAGGGAAAAAAGAAAATAGAAAAATGTTTCCTTGGAATACTCGGCAATTTTGTTTACAATTTATTGGTACCTCTTTTATTTCCTCTTTTGAAAGGTTAGAAACTTTCAAAAGAGGAAGTAAAAGGAAACGCCAAACATCGGAGTTTTAATTAATATAATCCACAAATGAATGTGGGTACCTAACGTTATCTCCTTATGAAAGACTTAATTTCAATATTCACTGTTTTTACTTACAATGTACTAATATCACTTTTTCTTGTAAAATACATATTTACTTATATATAATGAAAAAGTTTAAACAAGAAAAGAAAAAAAGAGCATTTAAAAGTGTTAGAGGTAATCGGCTTATTAAATCAGAGTTATTTTTTCTTCTTGTTTCAGCTTAGCGGATTTCGACTCAGCGAAATTCAACTAAGCGCATTCTCTGAACCTTAATAAAATTGATATTCTCTTTATTCTTTTTTATAAGGCATTCATAAAGTTTTAGGTAACGAACTTTTATGAGAGTTAAATGCTTCATATTATCCTATCATTTTAAGTACATCCACAATATGTCACATTTTTCTAGTATGAAAACATTTTTAATCGGATACAAGCAACTCTTGTAATCCAAAAAATGTCATGTTTGATTAAGATAGATTTTTGGGTTTTATTTTTATATCTTTAAAATGAATTAAATACTTAATATCATAAAAGTCATATGTGGGAGATAAGGATTTTTATTTGCCTTATTTGCCACAATATTTAGACGCTGGACTTATTTTTAACTGGAAAATAACTTCCGAAAATTTGACATACGAGAAGGTCTTTCATCCACCTCAGTCACAGCAAAAACGTTATTAGTGCTATTATTTATTGTATAAAACTCTCGTCACTGAAGATCGTCATATCACTACGCAAATATCAAAAACAGCCTAAATAGCATATCGAGGATCATGATCGCTTTCTCTTAAAAAATTATTTTCCAGGTGCGTATCGCATCTTCTTATTGACGAACGGAGAGAGAGAATAATATAGATCGTTGAAACTGATATAAAAAACAATAACTACAAAAGTCGAAGAAGTTTAGTAATTTTTATATACGAGGAAATGTAAATTACATATGTATGAGGAATTGATGAAACAGTTATCGGCGTTTAAATGTTTAATTAATAACACATCGCTGACGGAAACAAAGGAAAATGAGCAGATAAAATAAGGGTAACTTTTTTTTTTACTCTAAAAGCAGCCCACTTTTAATTGTGAAGTTTAAGCCACAAAGTAAACTTACGCAGAATAATATAAAAATGTTTCCTTATTCTGAAGGTTTTTTAAGTCATACCAGATAAAGATTAAGATAATCTAGGTTGCTAGCCAGAGCTTTCCTTCAGGAACTTTGATCTTATGAGGACCGAATAGTTTATAAAAATTATAGGAGAATGTGTAACTCCTCCAAAATCTGAGCCTTATTGGTCAAGGCGGTAATCACCCCTATCTGGATCGATCAATTTAAACGATTTTCTTAATTTGAACAACGTATGTTTGAAAATTTCTTCAGATGTTTAAGGCGAACTTTCAAGGCTAGAATGTAGTCAATATCTTTCTTTTTCATTAAATTCTCATGCGTTTCTAGACCTTGTTCCCATTCATTAATAGTGTTAATATTTTGCAAAGCAACTGGAAGTAATTTCTATTATCTGAGAAATATAGTGTAAGATCAACTGGTACACATTACGGGGTTTAAAATGATAATTTAACAACAAGTGTAAAACATACAAATTTGGCGTAATCAATAAAGAGTTTTCATTTATAAAATGTAGCTTTCTCAGGAACATAAAATTTAAAGTAACTTGTAATGGACGTAAAATTTATATCGATGATGAGCAATGGAAGCAAGTATGAAAAGCTGCGATATTTAATACTTAATATTTGTGGGCAGCTGAAAATGGAATATGTTTAATTTCTGGAAAATGTTAGGTTTATGTGTCTCGTTTCTTTGTAGAATTATATCTCAGAACTTATTGCCTGCGTTAAACGAGATTTTATCATTTTCACTAATTTCAATAAAAGTACAAGTTTGTCCGGTTTTAATATCAGCTGAGAAGTTATTTTTGTGCTAGGCAATGAGATCACACACATAATGTAAAAGCCACTCTATAAAACTGAGATGAAGGCTACTATAAATATCCTGTGGAGCAATCATGCCCATAAGGAAAATTATGAGCAAGTGCAAGTGACGCTAGAGAATACAGGCATTGATCACTTTACCGAAACGACAGATATCCAGTCGCTTATATCCTGCAAACACATGACAGCTGTGAAATATACGATGATTGAAAGTCTGTCTGCTCACAAGAATTGATAAATGAGCTCATCAAACGAAGAACAGCGAACTGTTGTTATGGTACAGGATTGAGAATACTGTCTTTAACAGAGAGTATCCTCTATCCTGTATCATAACTACACCATCTTGTATCAAGGGGTTATGGTTGTATAGTTGTATAGTTCTCGTATACTGTTACTACTTGGATAATGTCAATTTGCTTATAGTTGTCTGTTCTTTTCGGTCAACAACGCATTTGCCTTTCCTACAGATTTCCCACAGTAGTCTGCAATTCAGTTTATTGAAAGATCCATGTAGCTCCACTTAAAAAAACTGACATAATCATATATTTATAATAAATAGAAATACAATGCACTCAGCACTAAGATTATAGCACTAAAAAGGAGAGGCTGTGTAAATTTGGAGTTCGAAAGATCGATGGACACATTAATCAAAAAAATAAATAAAAGCTGAAACAAAATGTGTTCAAATCATCTTGATTTATTCGGTATGAAATACTATGACGGCCATGCTCAGAAACATACACTGGTGTGCAAAAATTAAGGACGAAGTCGAAAAATTAGCATATCAGCTGAACGAAGAGGCAGAGTGGACAGAAAGACCAAACAGGAGATTAAGTAAGGTGATGTACGGTAGCACATGCGCAGATATACAGGTAGACGTCTATGTAGGTAGACGGAAGTGTCTGAGTAGTATAAAGCATGTTGTCGGTGTAAGATCAGTATTTCTGGTAAAGAGATTGCACGCCGTATAGCAGTAAAAATCACACCGAGTTGCTGCCTCAGCGAGAAATGGCGAATAATCAATCTGTTAGACGACATCTGGATGCTTTTACCCGAGGTCGAATCATTGGGAAGTTGGAGGAAGGCCGCAGTGTGACAAGTGTGGCTGCAGAGTTCGGAATTGCTCACAGCATAGTTTCACGACTTTGGAGACAATTTCAAACTACAGGAACAGCTATCCGGGGATTTAGTAGTGGTCGTCCACGAGGAACCACACCCGCAGATGACCGGTATATTGCTTTACAGGCCAGAAGAAACAGGCGGCAGACAGCGGGAGAAATCGCTAGACACACGACACAGGCGACTGGACGACCGATATCGCGTTTTACCGTGGCCAGAAGAGTGCACGGTGGTGGTCTGTTTGCACGACGCCCTGTACGGTGTGTACCTCTAACGCCTGCCCATCGGAGAAGGCGTTCTCTGTGGTGCCGGGAACACCGGAATTGCAGAGACAATGAATGGGGACGAGTACTCTTTACAGATGAGAGCAGATTCAGTCTGAGTAGCGATTCTCATCGCATACTCATCTGGAGAGAGCGGAAAAGCCGCAATCATCCCTCGAACATCATTGAAAGGGACAGGTTTGGAGGTGGCGGTGTTCTCATTTGGGGAGGCATCATGCTTGGTAGTCGTACAGACCTTCACATCTTCGACGCAGGTTCAGTCAACGAGACCCGTTATTGTAACGAGATTCTTCTTCCATATGTGCGTCTTTTTAGAGGCGCTATGGGTCCGTAGTTCCTTTTCATGGACGACAATGCACCATGTCATCGTACAGTAGCTGCCGAACAGCTCTTAGAGAGTGAGGATATTGAACGTATGGATTGGCCGGCACGATCTCCGGATCTCAATCCCATCGACCATGTATGGGATTTTCTAGGCAGACGCTTGGCAGCTCGTACCTTACCACCAGTAACGATTCCGGAGCTTCGATTTGCGCTGCAAGACGAATGGGCAGCAATGCCTCAACAACTCATTGACACCCTCATTCTCAGCATGGGCAGACGCTGTGAAACCTGCCTAGTAGTCAGGGGAGATCATATCCCCTATTAAAGACCGGATGTTTCTTGCTGGACACCCATCACCGGGATGTTTCGGCCTTCAGTCGCATTGCGCTCCATGCTACTTTTTCAATAAAGCTTCTTTTTATCCCTCTGATTTCTCTTTTAGTAAGTGTTGCTTACATTACTCATGTCCATGTATTGGGGATCTTACGGTATTAAATGTGTTGATTTGGAAAGCTTTTGTACAAAGTTATATTGAAAAAACCGTCTCGTCCTTAATTTTTGCACACCAGTGTATGCCTTTACCCGCCTTGACATATACCTCGTCCTATTATAAATGAGATCATTAGCATTTTAGTGAAAAATTTTTACCCACATTGCAAACATTGAGTACGTTAAGCGTTAAGATTCGAAGTTTGCTCTTCCTTTTGCAATAGCCGACCAATGATGTACCAGATGGTAGATAAATCCGAAGTTGAGATAGGCGCCGGAAGATCATTACTTTTATGGAAATTATTGACAGCAGCTTGAGCAACATGTGGCCTATCATTATAGTATATATAAAAACGCCTCGACAATGTACTAGGGGATGCACTTAATATTATACAATAATGAGTTCGTTAAGAAAATTTTTAATGTAATTTGACGTAATTAGATATACTTATGTAAATGCGTTGTTTGTATGATGTACTAATGTATGTTAGAAGTAATTATGTTATATTAATTTGTCATAACCCAACTTTTGTTAATCAATTAAGTTCATGGTAATAATTGCATACCGAGCTATTAGAATCGTATATTCAATACGAAGTCTAGAATTATTGTAAAGTATCTTTGTAACTGTCTTGTTAGGTTAGCCTTCTGATGCGGGCCAACCGAACGCCCAGCAGGTACAGTAGTGCGGCGGAGCTATACCTTTAAAAGTCACTGACGAAGTTCTGGTGCTCCGTCCACTTTTTCCTGTCCCTGCTTGGGCAATTTGCAAGAATGACTATACGTGTGGTTACATATCAAAATCAGCATTACGTTGAGATGTAAGCAAGAAATAAGAGTATACGAATTGGTCTTTCATGGATTATGATTCTCCCCTCCATTATTCTGGGAGCAGGGCAGATTTGACTTTCTCTCGTAAATCTTACTGATGGTATTTACTATAAGGCCTTCAGAGCCATCACTATTTCGAATAAAGAAACGATGCTCATCGCTAAACAGAACAGTCCTCCATTGCTACCTGGATGTACAACATCACAGTCTTTGAAATTTGTGGATTTGGACTAATGGAACACCTTTCTTTGGTTGCCTGGCTCACAGCCCATTGTCGTGTAGGTGCCTTCTGATGGCATTTTAGATACTGCTCAACGTCTGAACGTAGTATGTGACATACGAGAAAAAAGGACTATTACGCATGATTCCCAGTATAAAAATCGATCACTATGCATCATTCTTCTGATCTGACATTCAATCCATGCAGAATTTGCCTTGGCCACGGTTTACTGTAATCCGAGTTTGTGGTTGTTTTCATAAATACTGGAATACACAGCACTGAACACTACTAGCATTTCAGCCTAAACAAGTAGCGGTCAGCTGAAGTAATATACCAGGATTTTTAAGATCTAGGATTATATTTGTCCCCATTTGCGAGAGGTGACGATGAGTCCCACGACAGATTCAAAGCATCACACCATCAAACAAATTTAATTCGTTTACTGAAATTTCATGTGGCAGAAAAAATTACACTTGATCAAGCTTTTGTTCTATTGAAGCTCGTCCCACATGTCACAGATTAAAGCTAGAGGAGGAAATATTTCCTCATTTTCCTGTTTTAGCTACTCTTACAATTCTCACGATTTGGTAACTTTACAACTTTCTATTCTTGGTGTTGCAATTTCAATGCGTAGGAGTGTACAATTTCTTTGGATATCAATGGAATATCATATGTTCAACTCACTATGCAATGAGGCCAACCGTAATTGAAAAAGAGATGCAAGGAAATATCTGCCAAAGGAATTAATCTAGCAGTGACAAAAAACAAGACATTTGGGAGGGATTAAATGGAATTTATGAGGATGAATAGATAAACCTGAATCCCATCTCGCCATATCATGATACAATATGTTACTTCTAAGAACTGAATTAATTTAAGGTATCCGACCTCGTTCGGGTACCATTTTTTCAAAAATGGTTTTTATTTTAACTATAAACATATTAATTTGAAGATAAGCATATGAATGATTGAAAACAATTTAAAACGTATTGCTAAGTAATTTTAATTTTAAAAAATAATGAAAAAAAGGATAATTTTTGCTTAAATTTTGCCTTTACGGCAACAACCACGGTGAACAATGTATATATGCAGTTTTTTTAATTTGTATTTATATTTACACTTGTTTTGTATACAATGAAGCAAAATAATTAAGAAATATTCATATATTCTTGAGATATGTCAAAATGTATATTATTTACTGTATATTTTCCTATTATTGCATCCAAAATCTAAAAATAAAAAGTAACAATTCAACCTCTAATTAATATTTCTAAAATATTTTGCTTCAGAGCATGCATCAGAATTATGTGAAACATGTATAGAAAGTATCATTAAATTTATCCATAAAATTTTGAGTTATGGCTGTTACCATTGGCAACATTTACAGAAAAAACATTTTTCAGAAAACAAGTTTAAAGTTTTCATAAAACAATTTCTTAGTGAAAGAAGCATCCCTGATAATTAAAATTCCCTTGCTTTGTAACTTAACACCTTGTTTTTTTCTTCCCACACTCTGAACCTTTTCTTTCGAACAAAGCGTAATTTTTCTTTGTGTTTTTGTAAAATATGTGGAATGTCACCAAAAGTCATGATTTTGCACTTCATCAAGTTTTCGAATTCCCTGCTCAGTGTAAAATTCAGGGAACATACCTAACCTTGAAAATGCTTCAAGCAAACCTATAAATCAAAACCAATAACAAACACAACACTTACATTTGCTCCAATATTAATATTCGCAAGTTTATGAATGTTTTTTCGGAACAATTAGCCAATAAAATGCCATTAAAACGTTCCTTGATATTTTTGAGTTTTGCCATGTAGACACTTTTTAATAACTCTTGTTTATGTAGTCAACTCCATATATGTAGGTTTAATTAAATTCAAAATATATATTGATATACCAGAGGTTTTTTTCTTTCTGATTTTTTTCCTGATTTCTGCAATAACACATTCATAGTTGCACCAATTCATTGATTATTGAGGAGGGCATTAGCTTCGAAAAAGAGCTACAATGGAACAAGCAGTTAGTAGAACCTGCTGCATCTCAATTAAGTTTCAAACATGACTTCTAATTGCAATCCCTAATTCTGAAATTTATCAATAAAAGAATCAGTCAGTTTACCTTTTCCTTTCAATTCAGGAGCGGAGTTTTTTTACTTTTCGTAATCCACTACCAACCCTTTTCTGTACATGTTCAATGCATTCCACTTTCTTGACCGAATCTTTACCATATATATCTTTCACAATTAAAAACCCCCTTAGAATCCCCATCCTCGTAATACTCCGTGTGCTTCAGCTTTCGTAATGTAATAGATCATTCAAACAGGGAATAAGCACCAACTGCTTCCATACCTGAAGCTGCTTCTTTATAATTTGCAGAACAATTATATTACGCTTTACATATGTCGTGCTGAAGATTGCATGCCATTCTGTTTATTTTGTTGCAAATGATGCAAAAGTGTGACATAGCTTTCAAATCAAGCACTCTGTCAACGCTAATTGACAAAGCAGCAACACATACATTCAACGTCGAATACCCTCTGCGCCAAACTAAATACGAAATTAAGGGAAAAAACTAACACCAGATTCTTAAAATGTATTACAAAATATCTAAACTTAGTACGCAGGTTTATAATTTACAAAATCTTGATTATAAATAAAGTTTCTAAATAGGTATATCTATTTAAACGCTCACTTCCGGCCCAGAATATTGGAACTTCCGGTTCATTCAGTTACAGAAAAATGCTTATAACTTCAGTTCTAATTAATCCATCAACAAGCAAAAACTTGTATTTGATAGCTAAAGATGTATTCTTTAAGATAATGTAATAAAGTAAAAATCGAAATTTTGACCGAAAATCGTCTTTTATACAAGGTCGGATACCTTAAAATACTATGCAGTTGTAGAAGTGAATTTAAATTGATTATAGGCATTATACAGTTGCGCAATTACTTCAGCCTCACAAATTTTCTTCGTTCAGATAGAAAGTAGTTATCACCATTTATATTTCTTTCTTTTTTGTACATCTAATATTGCAAAATGATAATAGCAATAACGTATAGTTTTCTATAATCACATATACAAAATACCTCTAGTATACAAAGCTCTTATGTAATGTTAAACTACTTCAAGATATCCAGTACTCAGAGATGTATCTACATAGAAAAGTTATTCATGTTTTTAAAATAGTTACGGAATTTTCAATGAGCATGCGATGTAAAACTTCAAATTTATTCATTCACTTTATCTCTTCCGTAGCACTTCTGTATGCCACTATTTTTGGACATGTGACAACCATCATTCAGCAAATGACATCGGTAACTGCAAGGTACCATGAAATGTTAAACAACGTGCGCGAGTTTATGAAGTTACATGAAGTTCCAAAAGCCCTTAGTGAACGAGTTATGGACTATGTGGTATCTACTTGGGCCATGAGCAAAGGCATAGATACAAAAAAGGTATAATAACTTTTTAAACATTTTGTCTGAGTTTAATTCATTTTATATAAGGTGTTGTTACATAAATGAAATAAGTTATTTGTTGTTACATAAGTTGTTAATCAGTAAGTTGTTACATAAGAAAATACACAGAAAATCATTGCGGATTGCACATAAAGTCACGGAAATTACTTTCAGGAAAAATATGTCATAAGGTGTGGTGTAGATACAATTCTTGGTATGGTTTAGTTTCTTAAAATTCAAAAGTACTTTGCGATGAAAAACACTGAGCTTCTGTAAAGATTTACTACATTTGGAAAACATAAATAAAACTAAGAGTTAAACTACATTTTACCTGCATCTTAAATAATGATTAAGCGTTTTTCGGAATTTCTAAAACATCACTACATTTGACTTAAATCTTCTTTAGATTTTAAGCTTATCTTTTAAGCATCATATGAATTAAGTCTGTTTACGTGAGACAGCATTTGTCCTCTGTAGCAGAAGTTAATACTAGTAAGAAAATAGATGGTCTTGAGCCAGAATGAGATGAGTTTTGCTTCTGTTAGTTATTATTGTCTGCGTAATTTGAACTTTTTTATACATGTGCTATTTACTAATTTTCTGAATGTTGTTAAACGGCTCTTAGATTTTATATCTTTTTTAATTCTTTTCATCTTAAATTTCTATGTTTTAAAATTTCCATTGTTTTAGTACGCATTTAATTTTCTGCACAACTAAATATCGAACAGAAATTGCTAACACCAGTTGATAACCACTTGGTACTAAAATAACTATCTATAAACTCAAGTGCACTCTGATAAATTTAAGTCAGTCAAGAACAGGGTCTCAAAGAGAAGAAAACATTCATTAATTCTCAAAGAGCATTCACAAGAAAAAGTTTAATCATGAAGTGTTAGTTTTCTGTCATTGGTATTCAGTATTATTCTCTGAATTGCTTAGTTGTTCCCCATAGTATTTTGCCAATGTTGAAAATTAATGCAACATCTTTTATATAGGTTTTAAGTTATTGCCCGAAAGACATGACTGCTGACATTTGTGTGCATCTGAACCGCAAAGTGTTTAACGAGCACCCTGCTTTCCGACTGGCGAGCGATGGTTGTTTGCGAGCCCTAGCAATGTACTTCACAATGGACCATAGTGCCCCTGGAGATTTACTGTACCACACTGGAGAGAGTATTGATACACTTTGCTTTGTCGTCAGTGGATCTCTGGAGGTCATCCAAGATGATGAAGTCGTCGCTATTCTCGGTATATGCTTGACATTCTTCTCGGTATATGCTTGACTATCGGTGTTTGACACTTAAAATTTTTTATGGTATACACATGTCAGGTTTAGGTTTCTGACATATTAAAGGAATGACATTTGTTTTGCAAACAACATCTTAGAAAACATGAAATGCAATCAAATATGTATGTTACTTATAATATTATGATATTACATAACATTCTTGACTTCTTTTTACCTATATATTTGAAATTAAGATGTGTTTATTTGAGAATTATTTCGTTAATTAAAGCATCCTTATTTCAAATAAGTATTAGCTTTTTTAAGGTAATGAAACTGATTTGTAGCCTGGAATAAGTTTCACCAGAAAAAAGAAAAGTTAGTCTTTCAAACAATTTGTTGCACACAAATTAACGCAACCGGTGATTCCAAAGTTAAAATAATTGGAGTTTATAATTAGCCTAGTAATGATTAATACAGCAAGGACTCAAAATTATTTTGATTTTGATAATAGAAACTAAAATGTGTAAAATTTTCATTGAGAAATATGAGTTATAAAAAAGTTTTTATTAAACTACCCAAAAGCTCATATGTATCTATTTGTCAGAAAACAGGCTATGGTGTGCTTCACCACGTATAGTACAAAAAATATACAATATACATCAAAATTACTTCATTTAAATCTTATTATAAGTTCGTCTATTTCGTATTACATTTAATTTCTTTTAAAACATCGTATAAATGCCTGGTTAAAGAATACATAAACTCTTTCAAAACTCGTTTTGGTACAGCACCACCTCAAACAGTATAGTATAGGCTGACATATTGACACGCCTTTAGGCTCACATTTGAATTCCGAACAAACCAGAGAATTTTGCCACTACAGAATCTTTTTCGAGTGAGAACACTTAAAATTTGCTTGTATGAAACGCCTTTCGAACTCGATGATAGTTAATCTCAATGGTAGCAATGATCAACTAATCTTTTGTTTGTTTTGTTGCTCTAAACATATCATTTAACACTCTGAGCGTTACGGGTTTAGCCTTGAAATTTCAAAGTTCCTCAAAATGTCATGAATAAGTGATATTTTCTTATTTAATTTAAAAATGACTCTTTCATTTTGTACCTTGATTTCTTTTCTTCCAATATACATCCAAACTGAAATCAGATACATTAAAAGCTAGCAGTTTCATGTATAATGAATGTGGAAGGCAACCTTCTGTACGGAATTTTCCGGCCTTAAAGCTTCACTTCAATTGGCAAATCTGAGTTAAAAGCGTTAAGAGTTGAACTCCATTTTACCTACATCTTGTAATTATAAAACATTTTTCTGAATTTCTAAGCTATCAATACATTTGGCTTAAGCCATCTTTAGATTTTAAGCTACATTTATACTCAAGTGAATTAAGTCTGTTTACGTGAGACAGTTTTGTCCTTGGTAGCAGAAGTTAATACTAGTAAGACAATAGATGGTCCTAAGTAAAAGTGAGATGAGTTTTTCTTTTGTTAACTATTACTGTCTGTTTAATATGAACTTTTTTTATATATGTACTATTTACCAACTCTCGGGGTGTTGTTAAAGGGCTCTTAGATTTTATACCTTTGTGTTATTGCTCTAGCCCAGATCATTAAGAGTAGGAATTAGATCGTTGCTACAATTGACGTGTCTTAATCCATCTCGCGGTTGGTTGGGATGCTATGTATTAATCAAACAGCTTCCCGTTGTAATGCAACTTATATTAGAGTCTGCCAATTTGCTCACAGAAAAGAATATGTGAATTTTATGTTGTTTATGAGTTTATATAAACTAATTCTTTACTCAAAATATACATAACGCTGAACACAGACTCTTGAATAGTATGAAGTGATGTTTGTATTAAGAATGAATCATCAATAGGTTGTTTATTCGACTATTATCTAAATGTAATTACTTTTTATCTCAACTATGAGAATATACAGAAAACTTTTTCAGCTGATTAATCAGTACATAGCCTTATCAGTTTTAATATCATAAACTAGAAAAGTACGTTTTATCTCTGACTGCCCAGATACTTAATAATTATCCAAGGTATAAAATAAAAACTTAATTTTATCGTTACAACCATTCGTTCATAAGTATTTTACAAAATCTATTAATTCCAAACTAGAAGAATGTTGAATATAAATTAATCATTAGTGTAACTTAGAGAATCTTAATTTTGTTACTCAGTTAATATACTGTATTTTACTTTGCTTAACATTCTATTGTTTTAATTCCGAAGGTAAAGGGGATGTTTTCGGAGACTCCTTTTGGAAAGAGCCTTCTATAGGTCAGTCATGCGCAAATGTTAGAGCGCTTACATACTGTGATCTTCACGCCATCAAACGAGACAAACTACTTGAAGTGCTTAACTTTTATCATGCCTTTGCCAATTCTTTCTCAAGAAATCTTGTACTAACTTACAACCTCCGACACAGGGTGAGTATTAATTTATTTACGGAATTCAACTATGCAAGTACTATTTCTAAGGGCTTAAAAATATATAATTTAAAATTGCTGTTTAACTTATAAATTTCTTATCACTTAAGTTTCTAATTAAACTAAGTTCGCAATAGTATAACAAAATATAGCTATAGCCTAGCCTTTACTGGCATTAGTATCTTGAAATTTCCATCTGGATATATTACCTCTGACATCACGACAGCATACGTGAGAATCCGATAATTCCTCACATTCTCCCAAACCTAATACGTGGGTGACTAGCAAGAAGCACGAGACCCAGTCGATCATTTCCAGATGGTAATGAGTTATCGTCCGTCCCATTTAAGTACTAGAGCCACCCTAGAGCCATTAGGTTTTTTTCGAGCAGGAAACACGAAAACTCAGCCATGCCTTTACTGGAATTAAAATGTAGATGCTACTATTTACAGAGCACTCACGGGGAGATGATATAATTTAGGGTTTATAACTTTATATCTTAAAATCAAGAAAGTGAAAAGAAGTAATCTCAGCATATTACACTTAAATATTATACTAATATAAAAGCCTTGTGTATGCTGCTGTGACAATTTACTTCTTTTATAACATTGCTCGTAGTTGGATAGCAATGGCAAGGTTTCTTCACCAGTGTCATAATTATAATAATACAAATATTCTTATTAAACTGTGGCATCTTCAAATTTTCAGAACAAATTAGGGAAAATTTAAACAAAGGAAACTTAATGAATATTATCAATAGAGCACATCAACATCGATTTCTTAAATCACTTTGTGCCTTATAAGCGATAATCCTTAAATATTTCAGATTTAACTCTCAAAATGCACTTCGTACGTAATCACAGATAGTGAGTATCTAAGACTTAGAAAATGAGAGTAAAATGAAACAAATTTAATTTAGCAAAACTTTTATAAAACCAAAGTATAAAATAATGCATGCAGTGTAATTAACTATTCTGAAATTCGTGAATTCTAACCCTGAGTGTAGAGTATAAAAGCAAAAGTTAACATAGAAATAACAAACATAGAAAACATAACATAGAAATTTCTTTTCAAACAATTCCTTTTATACCCTAAAAAATATCTAGAAGATTTCTTTGAAAAATGAGGGTCTTAAAAATCTAAAGATGACTAAAATATATGGACTGGTTTGTGTTCAGCTGCCATCTACTATAAATAAAGAAGGTTCAGAGTAACCTATAGTAACCTATAAATCCTTTTTCATTCAATTTTTCTGTGCGTACAGAAGGAAAATTTTAGGTGTGTCCAGACCGGACACACTGTGTCGCAAATAGTTAAAGAATTCTTTTATACTAGTTTTGTAGCATTCCTTACACAAGTTCATGCAAAATGAATTACTACCAACTGTGCACTTGCATTTATAATATAATTTAAAACTGTAGTTAAACCTGTAATTTTTATAGGAGTTTCCAACTTTTCGGAAATTTGACTGTTATTGTACATTTAATTTTGTAATAACTACATTATATTATATTACTGTAATAAAATTTTGCGGAAAATCGCATGATTAATATAAATTAAAATTATTATGAACGGTCTTAAATAGCTTTGTCGATTTTTTTTGTTTGTTTTTGATTGATATTATACATGCAATTCGATTAATAATAAAAGACTATTGGATTTTGAATAAATAAATACTTTGTTTTAATTAAATTCGATGTCATATTATTTCATACACAAGTCTAAGCATTTTAAAATATAATTAAATGCCAAACAGTAAGTTTAATTCGAATAACATTATTTTTCGTAAAGCAGGCCTTATGTGTCTTATTTTTAAATCGTGTGTAAATATTACGTGTTTAAGTATTTCAGATATTAGATTTTTCTACCAAAATATACCGGGGTTTATTTTTTTAATAAAATAAAACTTTTTAATTACATTTAAAATTTTATTAATTATTTATCAAAACATACATAAGTAGTTATAATAAAAATGCAAAGGAAAAAGTTCCAGTTTATATTTATTTTCTGTCTGAAATCTAAATACTAATACTTGCAAAAAATTTCTCTTGGAACTTTTATAATTCAAACATATTGACAGCTAAATGTTAAATATTCTGGCTGATGTTTATTTCATAGAATTCTAACATATTGAATTAAATAATTTATATAAATTAAAGGCAAACAAATTACGAAATCTTTCCAAGTGGGGCAACATTTGAGAATAAATGGTGGCAACGTATTCTCTGCGTTACATTTATTTAATTTTTCATCGACGCATACAAAAAAATTCATATATTTGTATGTAAATAATTATAAACTTCCGTATTTCTAATGACGACTTTTAGCTGCAACACCCTCATGACGTTCCAATTTTTGTAATCATGAAAAAATTACTAGTAACTACTTTCATCACGAACGGTAAATACTCACTGGTCAGTCTGGTTCTTTTTTAGACTTATTAATTATTAGCTGTGGGAAAACAAACTGTTTGCAAATACACGTACTAGTAAAACCATTATTCTTATCGCACACGTACTAGTAATACCATCATTATCGCACATGTACTAGTAAAACCATTATTCTTATCGCAAAAATTTGTAATTTCATTGAACAAAGTTCCGATTTGATTTGATTTAGGTGAATTAAAATCCTCATATAATTCTTTGTTTGAATACCTTAACTGTTAGGGAGAATGTATGGTACGAAGAATAAATTTACGGCTTGAACCATAAAAGTGGACTGTTGCCAAAAACATATCATTACTATACAAATCTTTATAACCTTCATTTTCTTTTCGTTATTGTTAAGCTTCAGCATCCCTAACATTTTCTTCCAAATCATATTCTGCGTTTGCTTTTTCAGATACGCGTTTTAACCAAGCAATCTTCTCAGAAGCTATCGAAATTTTCTGGAATAAAAGAACCTTTCAAAGCTCACATGTTCTCGAGCAATGGAATTACAAGTCTATTAGAAATTAAGAGTTTTTCCAAAACTTTTGATGCATGATGCTATATACTTCAGTTTAAAAATGGAAAATTCTTCTTTGAAAACTTATGTATTATTTAAAAAAATGAACTAGAAATTACTGCAAAATAACTTTTGCATATATACAAAATATAAAAATAAAAGAACTCCTTTTCCAGAAAAATATCTTTTCTCGACTACTTATGATCTATATTAACTGTAAAAACTTATCCGTATCTATTAAACTCTAAAACCTAGAACAAGTTTTTTTATATAATATATTTTTCATTTAAGTATAATTCAACAGTAAATAATAAATATAGATTTAATTCTAAATTAATTAAATCTAAATTATTTCACGTGTAGGTATATTTTAATCTTAGACTTATTTATCTTACTATCTTAGCAATCGTGAATCTTATCTTATTGTCTATTGTTTTATCTCAGTAAATCTTCAGACACTTTCACTTGCGGACAAACTTGTAGCTGATAGATACAATGAACCTACACATGCATTTTCTACTTTTAAATCCTAAAGTTTCTAAATTGCACTTCTAGCGAAGTTTAATCTGAAACTTAACATTAAAAGTAATAAAGAGGCGGCTTGAAAATTTGAATGGCTTATTTTTCTTATTTAGTCCATAATATTCCAAATTTTAATGCTCAAATTCTGGTAAAGATATTGCAAATTTGTTTTACGGTATATCTTAAAAAATATTTTCCCTTTGTAAAGGAACCGCAGAGGCGTTTAATGAGTTAGAAAGTTCAAATTCAAATTTTAGTTTGCTTCATTATAAACTTGCAGTTTTGCTATCGTATTGTATTGTAGCTCAAAGTAAATGTAATAATGATGACGAACAAGACGAAATAACGCTGTTTAGACTTAAGACCTTTATCAATTCGTACTTCATAAGCAAAAAATATCTTTTCACTATAATAAATTTTACAACACACAAATGATGTCATCTTTGTAAGTAAAATCTAGAACTTACCACGAAATGGCGTGCATTAACATTAAAACTTACACTATTTCAATAAATAAAGAAAATTTTAAAATAAAAATCTTTCTACTAGATGAACTGCCTTTCAAAACATTATCAGGTTCAATGTTCCGTCTTACTTTCTTCGGGAACATGCAAGGACCTGACTCGGAACAGAGAGCTTACTAAAGCTATGTTCAATAACTGTGGGAAGTAGACAGGATACACAAGAAGGGTATACAAAACCCTTTATTTTTCTCTATTTACAATAACTTCCGTACTTCGGAATACAAAGACCCACTACTTGTGGTCTAAACGTAAAAATATAAAAATAAAACTAAACTCTAACTTTAAAATAATAAACGTGGAAGATTGGCCTTATATTAACAGGAAGCCGTATGTAGTACAGAGAACTATGAACACTACAATACGTTTAAAAATTATCAAGAGGATTAAACCTCTGGCCTGGAAGGCAACCAGCAACTGAGTAAAACTTCTAAAGTAAGCGGCCTGCTTCGATTAACTGCTTCCTCTCTTTCGCTTGGCAAAAAGCCACAACTTAAATACTTGGCGCTCGCCAGACAAACTTTGCATAAATACGTTAACGCTTATAATTCTGGCCGGAAGTAGAAAATAAGAAGTGATAGTAAAGATTTAAAATAAAATAAACGTTAGTAAAACTTAAGATCCTTACAACATGTTACTCGCTATCAAACAAGTAAAATGCTAGATGCATAATATGTCTATAAGCTTGACCATATACTTAATTCTAGAAATACGTATGTATAAAGGATTATGAGCTGGACTGCGAATTCTGTACTCCAGGTAAAGACTGTAAATCAGTAATCACTTTCGACGATATTTTAATATCTTAACAATGTGATATAGTTTGATATGTAATAAATCTTCTTTCTGTGCACTTTACTTCAATAGGCTTTCTCATTCTCGTTTCTAACCTTCTGTATTGCATTCTACGGCTCCAAATTAATGGCAAAAACATGAACATGTGATTATTACTAGGTTGATTTCTTAAGCTGCATAATTGCTTCCGAACACATCTCAGTTGTATCTGCTGCTAGTATGAACTGATTGATATGCAATGTTCAAAGTTTTATTCAGATATCTATTATCTATACCGATGTTAATTTTACTTATTTGTTGCATCTAAGACTTTCATTCATTTCTTTAGTTGATTTTCCGGAAGGTTTCTGACGTTAAACGGGAACGCGAGTTATCCGAAAGGAGAAAAGCGGATCCCGTACCGGATATCTCCCAGGATCACATTGTGCGGAAGCTGTTCTCAAAATTTAGGAAAAATGGAGGGGACTCTGGAAAGACCAGCAGCCCAAACCAAATTGCTGCTTTACCAGATGTGGAAAGAGGAGAAGCTCCGCCTCCTAGCCCTCCTCAACAAGATGGCCCAAGGTCCCCTGTAAGTACACATAAGTATTGCATACAAGTATCTTAAATCTATATTTGGAAACTATACATTTTAATCTCATATTTAAAACCTATAGCTTAAACTTATTTCATGACTTTCAGCTTTTAGATGAAAGAGTCTGTTTACAATAAATATTTGTTTAGAGCGCATTTAGTAAGCTTAAATTAGCACAATAGCAATTATCAAGTTTAAACTAATATCCTTATATTGATATTAATTTATTGTTGGGCTTATTATCCTACTTAACAACAGCAAAGGAACAACCGTATTTTTCTCAAGCAGCAGTATCAGTAAGCCCGCAGGCACTGGAACATCAGTGGAACAAAGTACTGTTATGCAAATTTTATCATCTATATAAAAGGAAATATGTTACGAACTGATAAACTTGTTTACTTTTTTCGAGATCACACCATACATTCCACTAAGCAATAGTTCCATTTACTACGTATATCAGCTGTAAAATACATGAGTATCATTTATCTGGATGAATATAATCATGAATGAGCAGTTTTTGTATAACTAGTTTTACTGAAGTTACGAAACTTAAATAAATAGCAATAAGCAATGTGTTTCTGGACAGCACTTTAAAAATAAAGCACTTAGCGCCTAAAAATGCAGCACTTTAAAAATAAAGTATTTCTGCCCATACTAAAACACTGTATTTTGTATTGCAAAGACGTCAGTAAAAATTAATTGATTTCAATAATATTTTTTTTTCTTAGAGAGGGGATGTCGCTATAGGAAGATTATCTGTCATTACATAATTAGCATAATTCAGTACAGAATTTTTTTAAGTTTGCTTTTATGAATGATATACATAAATAAAGTATTCACTTTCTTATATTATACGTAGGATCACTATAAAAAGGTGTAACTTTCTAAAGAAAACAATACATGTTTATACATTGCACTTATATGAAATGATTTGATGTCAAACAGCTTAATAAATTTGGCAGCTCTCATTTGAATTCAAATCACAAATGAAATAAAATCCCAATACTTTTAATATGTGATCCACCATCATCCAGAATCTTTCCCAGCATCGGCATAAATGTTTCATTACCTTAGCTAGTGCCTCAGAGTAACTTGAATTACACAATTGTAGTATAAACATCTTTCTAAGTGGAAAGTTTCGTCCTAGGCGAAAAAACAGATTCCTAAATCGGAGGCTCTTTTCGAAAAGCATCATCATTGTTATAAATGCAAAGCGTGAATGGAAATCAAAAATCCTTTGATCAAATCAAAACTTGTACCAGAAATTTTAAATTACCGTTGTCAGTGTTACCATTTTTTTTTTTTTGCGTCTACATTTGACAGAGATCTTTCTTCCTCGTTTAAATTATTTATGTTGCAATTTGAATTGATAAAGAAATTTAGTCAACTGATCTACATGAAATAAAAATACGTAAATTCAGTACTTAAACTATATAAATTTAGATTGTCAGACGTCAAGATATCTGCTATGCCTTGATATCAATTCATATAAATCAAACTAAAAGAAATACTTCTGGGTAATATTTTTCATTTTCCCAAAAAGGCATTCTAAAGTTTGTTTGTTGTGAAATAGATTCAAAATACTTCTATATTATTGTATTGTACTATAATTTACAAGACTATGCAAAGTTTGGGAGCATTTGATTTTAATGATGAGCAGAAATGCAATGTTTTCAAGATTGTATTAATATCCTTCAAGAATTTCTTAGTCATGTTTACAGCTTTGGGAAATTTCTTACCCTTCATAAAACTATCTTTTATTGAATGCAGATTCGAAAGTGGTAACAGAACGCCAAGCTACTTCAAAGATCAAGAAAAAAGATTAAGGAAAAAAAAAACTTAATTTCTGCTTTTCATAAGCTTTCACAAGAGACCTTAAGTTTCACTGTGGCAGGTGAGAAACATTTGGGCGTACCAAATTTTCAATCTTAACTTTGGAAGCAAAGACTAAGTCTTTGCAATAAAATTGCATTTAGCTCTATGTATTAATGTAACTCATCAGGCTTATGAAACATTTAAAATCAGGTAATGAATCTATGAATTATTGATTCAGAGTTAACTACCTCATCAAAAGATATTTCTTGAAATCCTGATAACATGTTCAGGTGCTTTTATTTACGCAAAATCCTGTAGTTGTCATTAGAAGTCAGCATCGAACTCTCGAGTGACGCCAAACAATAGTTTCCAAGATCGCGGATAACGGCCGATTGAGTTTTCTGTGATGTTTCTTTGAGGAAAAGACTTTAGTGGAAACATACTTTGGTACAATATACGCTAATTGCAAACAAACTATTCACAGACTGTGTCAGCAACTGAAAGCCACTGGCTCTAGTTTGGAGAAAAATCGACGGCACTCATTAAGTGTTCGCACGCCTGAAAATGACAAGTCTTTCTTTTTTCACTCAGTGATTCATGCAAGATGGAGAAGTTCCCCGAAACTCAAAATGGGAGACATTTTTTCTCGCATATTCCGAATATTAATCCATAAGATTTTTATATGAATTCTGAAAGGTAAAGTAATCGAAAGGAAGCTTCCAAATGTAGCGAAACTCAAGACTCTTATCGTGCGGTTGTGCCGTGCAGTATCGGAAGACTTTTACCGGAATTTTGTGACAAATGCAAAGATTCTCATGCAAGAGGCTGTGAAACATAATGGTGGACACATTTACCTCACTTTTGAATTCTGATAAAACACTCACTTTTGATGCTCACATAGCTAACTATGCATTCAATTTGCAATATTTCCATGATAAATAAATGAACAAAACAGTCAATATGACATTTCATGCATCACACTGCACATTCAAAAGGCGCGAGTTCTCTAAAGAAATAAAACAACAGTCATTTTAATCTTAAGAATGTTATATTAAATTTTTCTTGAAAGAGTTATTATTTAAAATGTTAAGTGACCAATCTGTTTCCCATAATTGATTGATGACACGCCACTGACATTTACTTCAGATATATTTCTGCTGTTCTGAAATTATAAATTATTATTTTACTTCTCAGTGCTTGTTGTCCGTGCTTCATACTTTAATTCTTAATTTTGTATTTATAAAAGCAGGTTCCTGAAGAAGAAGCAAGAGAAAATCAAAATGGTCCACAAAGTTTGATGGGTTTTGATTCTTCTCTTCTTCGCTCAAACAACTTAGGAAACAAAAATGAAGTTACTTTCTTCCATAAGTCAGCAGACCTAACCGTTGAAAAACAACCGGACGCTTACAGCGAATCGGATCAACGGCAGCGTGGCCTTCTCTCTAAAGGTATTTCTTCCAAGTGGCCCAAGACAACTCAACCTGAGACTATCACTACTGGGCACGAAACAACATCTACCCAAATCAAAGAAGAGGAGAGCTTGGACTCTCGAGCTGAAGTCCAGCCTCTAGGAGGGAAGTCTTTTCCGACATCCGATCTTGAGAAACCAGTTGGTGCCAAGGATAAAACAGCGGAATCTACCGAAGGTGAACTCCAACTTCTAACAAGTGGAGTTACAGGAGGCGAGTACCAGCAGATTGTTTCCAGCCTAATGGACATGCGAGTGGACTTGAAACTCGAAATCCAGAGACTGAATCTCAAAGTTTCTAGGATAGATGAACATCTTGTGGAGCTAGTGAAAAAGATGCCAAGACTTCCTACTAAAGCAGATGTAGAACGGACTTCTGACGGTCGGCCAGATTCACACCGACGCGGGAGTGATCATTCTAAACATACTTGTAGCAAAGGGGGTAAAAGGGAATCTCATGTGGCCCCATCCAAAAAGAAGGGTTCAAAATCTAAAAGCTGGACGTCATCCAAATCATCCCCACCCCCTGCGCCATCGCGTGCATCTCCTAATGACTCGGCCGTCAGGGCCATGCTCGAGAACGAAATCGAAGAGCTCCAACGAGAATCGCTTCCAAACGAAACACAATAAGAGCACAATTTGACAGACAAGTGGCCTTTCTTGTCTCTATAGGATCATCTGTTTCACTAGTCATTATAACTTCATTTTAGTAGGTTTGGTTTCAGTCTTCTAAAAGGCTGAGTTGTTTGAGGCTGTTTTGCTCAGACGGACAACAAATTGTTATTCTATGAAAGCAAAAATATTCCTTTTTATTACTTGTTATGCCGTTACATGTCAACTTGTTGGGAGCGGCTGAAAATAAAAATCACGGTCTCCATTTTTTGGTGCTACGCCAATTATAATAATGTTCAGTGATTTAGAAGGTTATATTTGGATCTTTATTTATTCTGTTAAAAGCCTTCATTCCCGGGGTAAGTTAACATGTACAGTGAAGATTATTTATATATTGTATATAAACTATATTTCTAAGCTGATGATACATTATAAGTTACGCCTATACAAATATGATCACTTTGCTCTTTTCAGAATGCATTTCGTTATTATAAAACATTTCCCATGCATTCTACAATACCTCTTTTTTAAAATACTGGTTGATTTGCTCAACTTCCTTTATTTAAGTGTTTATCTAATTTGCATATTTTTTAAAAAAATTTTAATTGCTTTAAGCATAACATTTCTGAAAGGGCACTTTCTGACCATAGAGTCGAGCAGAAATGTGTTTAGCCTTTTATCATCACAATACATATAAATATAATTTAAAGGTTCAAGTTCAAACGTTTTTCGTACTTTCAGACTTTTATAAAACATCTTCTTCTCTAAAATATACAATAAGTTAGGCACTTTAAATTGGATATCATATACTGAATTCATAAAATTTGCGACATATATCAATTAAAACCCAAAGTCTGAAAATCTCTCAGATTAATTCATACGTGTACAAATCTTTTCAATAAAACTTTTTACTGAAAGTGTAAGGTAAGTTAGAATCTCAGTGATATTTCAGTAACACATATCTCCAAAACATAGCCGGAAAGTTGCATTAATTTTGCAACTTTAGTTTTTTTCGAACCATTTTAATAGTAATTTCAATTATTTTCCGAAAAAGGTCCAAGGAAAATCAGTTTGTAAACAATTTCTAAAGAGAATTTTTATAAATTTGAAAGACACTCACTAGCTTTTCACTTTAAAATTAAAATGTAGAAATTGTAATTGAGACACAATTATTTCCACCTTGGTTATTTATTGATCAGGATGTTAAGCTGATAATAATTTTTTAATGATGCAATAGTTAATGGTAAACTAGAATCTAAATTTCATTAAAGTATAAATTTTTTAAAATTTGAATTTTGTAGAGATTTGTAAAAACTCTCAATCCTCTAAAAGTTCAAATTTCGAATTTTTTCATAGGCTTTTATTTTTTGTATAATTCGTAACTAAATGAGCTAAACGGAGTGCTTAAATGAAATTCTGGCAGTGTTTTGTTCACGTAGTCCATCGATTAAAATATACCACGATTTCTCAACACTAATACATGTATATTTCTAGTCTTTGCAATTTTTAGCGATGTGCCCATATTGTTGCCATTATAGCATCTTCTGTATCCGAAGAATAATTTCATTGCGCACTTAATCCACGTAATACTCTTCTCTTCAGCAATTTTAACTTGACACCTTGGCGTAATAATAAACCCTCTACGGATAATGTTTGAATTCTGTCTGTTTTTTATTGCACGGAATATTTCCTTTCGCATACGCAATTATTCTTTAAAGCATTGGCTAGGTTCTTCAGATTTTCTTCTAAACAAATAGTTTCACCCAAGATCCCAACTTAAACCCAGTGTCTCTATTTCTTCTTTTAATAGTCTTTCGGTGTCTAGCATCAGTTTCGTCTGGTTTAATATATTTAAGTTCTTCACAGATGTCTATACTTTCCTTTAAATATTTGATTACAATTTTGTTGTATCCGTACTCAAGGTTGTAATATCATCTTGATATGAATAGTTCTCGTAGGCTCCTAGGTTGATGATCTTGTTAAGAAATGTTTCTTTCACGTCAATAATTTCATGTTTTATATCCTGAATTTTCTGTATCCTGTAATATGCGCTTTTCGCAAGTGCAGTTCAAAATCTGCTTATTATTCGTTTCTCCTTTGAAAGACTGTAAAGTGTCTTTAATTTCACGATTGCAGTCTCTCTATTTCTAATTCTTTTTCCCTCATTATGTCAGCCTTGATGAATTGGGAATTCTGATTAGAAGCTAAGTAAGGAATAGTTCCTAAATACTCAATGGCACTGTCAAGGCAAGATTTAGTTTTTTTGTTTTCAACTGATCCGCTATATTCTGAATTTTCTAACTAATGTCATAATGGTATTTCTAATATTAGTTACATAAGCCAAATCTCCTTCATCACATATTGTGACTGAGTAAAGTCTTTTCCACAGTATTCGCTGTAACGGTACTCAATACCTCTTTACCAGATACCATAAATCAATTGATTTAATCAATCAGCACTTCAAGCGCTCTAAAGATAAATTTTAAAACATTAAAAGCTATAAAATCTGAATATCAAACATTTAAGCGCAAATATTAAAAACGAATCAAACTTCAATAAACCGACAATGGACAGAAAAGCTATGTGTAGTAGAGCCCCGAAGAAAATTCCAGCTCACAGTCCACAGGCTAGAAAGTTTAAAACGTGGTGCATCAACTCAACGGGTAAGGAGTTTCTTGGTGACGGTGCTCTTGAATTTGAAAAACCTCTTCATATTAGGGCAAACTCATGATACAGGCAATGCACTTAAATCGCATGTTTACCGGATATTTCATATTTCTGCCAAATTTTAAGAATCCAATAAAACCGTCAGTGGGCAGAAAGGCTCTTTGTAGTAGATCTCTGAAGAAAACTCCAACCCAGAGTCAACAGGCTGAAAGTTTTAAAGCATGGTGCACCACTCCACCCGGCAAGGAGTTTCTTGACCATGGTGCTCTTGAATCTGAAAAATTACGTTAGGGCTAATTCACGACACACGCAGTACATTTAAATCACACGTTTAATATTTCTAACAAATTAAAAGATTTTGATAAATAATAACTAATTATCAAAAATAACAAAATGTTTATGCAACTATACGTAAATAAAAACCAAAACAGTGAGAGCTCACCGATTGCGCTGTTGCATCTACCGTGAAGGTAGCAGCTTATCCTGTACTTTTTTAATAGGATTCCTTCTTATTTTTCAGAATAATTAGTTAACTATTCGTTGTCAAAGGTTTTCTATAACTCGATCTAAACAAGACTATACTAGTTACGGAACTTTTCTAAACCACATGTGTGATAGATCAGTATTTTTTAATTCGTAAGTTTATCTACTCTGTTCGAAATATTTTTGAGGCAATCTGCTTCTTTTAAGTGATACTATCTTTCAGTTATAGTATGTTTCTTTAAAGTTAAAACTTTTGTTGCTTGTAATGTAATCAAGTACTATCTCATTTATATTTAAATTTATTTTCGAAATTCAACTCTTTTAAAGTAAGCACACATTTTTTGGCTTTCAGAAGTTCCAAATATTTTTACTATTCACTGCCCTGTAATGCACATGCGGTACATTTCTTACATTCTATGCCACATTTTTCTACATATATTTTTCACTTTCATTGTGTAATAAAACTGTAAATTGTTATCTTAGATTCTTAGTTAATGATGAAAATTTATTATGCTAATCTATAAACTATGCAGAAGATTGAAGCTTCGGCAACAAGAAACAAAGACCATAACAGGCATAAGACTACTAATCGGTTTATTTAAAATTTTCTGCTGTATCTCTTTATTTGAGAGAAACATGCATAGTAAAAGTTGTATTGCATACGTTTGAAATGCTACATGCGCTTTAACTATTTAACGAGAAAAAATGAACGTTAATTAGTCTTTGAGAGTTTAAACTGCCCTTTTTTCCTAAAATTATTTAAGACAATTCAAAAATTAAATTTATAATCAAATAAAGAAATATTTTTACTATATTTTAACAATGAACTAATTTCTTTATACTCAGTCAGATATAAGTTATACGAACGAATAATTAATAATAATTAATAATTGATAATAATTAATAATTGATAATAATTAATAATAATATAATAATATTACTATTTAGGCCTTTCAAATGGTATTCATAAGCTCCACTACTTTAATAATATAATTTAAGTATTGTAAACTATGCGTATTAGTGTTGATAACTGGTAGTATTTAATAAATTAAAGATTTTCTTTATTAAAATAATTTCTGAAGACAGTGAGATTATAACATATCGTTGGGAATCTGTTTACTAGAAGTATATCTTATGATAATATATTAATAGCAAATTTAATTATAACACGAATACTTTAATTGTAAACTGCTACAATAACCTTTTCCTTTTCTGAACGCTGTTCTTGCATGCCATTACCCATATGAAAGCCATTATTTCAAATATGTTTTAATCAGCAATCTTTATTTTTAAGCTGTAAAACTATTTCACAATTTAAGAGGAATACCTTAAAAACAAAATCAAATAAGCTTTATGCAATTGCAAAACAACTTCTGATCTTTAAATTATTTGCTGAATGCTGTATTCTTAGCCATCAATACTTCACGATGAGAAGCTAGTGAGTTTCTTTTACAGCTTATTTCCTAATATATTAAGCTCTGCTTTCGGCGCTTATTCATAATTCCCTTCCATTCCTTTTTCATATTTGTTTAAAATAGATACTATTTTTATACCTGTTAGTAAAATCCTGTAATGCACATAATCAGAGCTGAATGATTAATACCGCACTAATGTAGTTCTGAGAATAGATTTTTATCCTTCAATGGCATTTTAATGAATTCATTTGATGTAAAAGCTCTGTCATCTAACTATTATTAGGTTGCTCAAAAACTTAGTTTAGAGCGATTTTCTTTCATGTACATTCCTTTTTTAATGTCCTTAAGCAATGTGTGAAAGAGTGGTCTCCTAAGTGGAAAACCAAAATATAGAAATTGATTCATAATATCTTTTGCATGGAATGACGCTGATATCAAAAAGCTGTGATAGAGTATAAGAGTGAATATGAAGCCTTAAAAAAATTCTATGGAACTTAAAGAATGCTTTAAGTTTTACTTCTCTTCACGAGCTACATTCATTGAATGGAACAAATGGCTAAAAACTACACGTTCTAAATATTAAGTATCTTCCATCGATAAAATAAAGAACCATGATAGAGTTCGTTTAAT